CCACCATCGCCCAAACTCACTTAACTTCAGAGTTCCGATGGAACTCAAAGCCAGTGAGCTCCCAAAAGGCTGGGAACTCACACGAGAACTTCCTAGTCTCGACTCCACCGTAGCATGATATTGTCCGTTTTGGGCCCTGGCCACACCCTCACGATTTTATTTTTGGGAACTCACACGAGAACTTCCTAACGGGTCACCCATCCTAAGATCGCTATCGCCCAAACTCACTTAACTTCAGAGTTCCGATGGAACTCGAAGCCAGTGAGCTCCCAAAAGGCCTCGTGCTATAGGAATGTGAGCATGTATATATAAGACACGTCACCCCCTCTCCATTGGTCGATGTGGGATGTTACAATCCACCCTTCTTAGGGGCCTGATGTTTTCGTCGGCACACTCACACCACACGACATAGTGGCTCTGATACCATTCTGACACATCCAGTCTTGACTCCGCCGTAGCACGATATTGTCTGCTTTGGGCCCCGGCCACGCCATCACGATTTTGTTTTTGGGAACTCACATAAGAACTTCCCAATGGGGATCACCCATCCTAGGATTGCTCTCGCTTGAATTCGCTTAACTTCGGAGTTCCTATGGAATCCGAAGCCAGTGAGCTCCGAAAAGCCCTCGTGCTATAGAAAGGTGAGCGTGTACATATAAGGCACATCACCCCTTCTCCATTGGTCGATGTGGGATGTTACAATGACACCCAATGCTCCTTGTTCGCATGAGCTTAAAAGGCGACACCCAACGCTCTTGGCTCATAATAGCATAAACTATGTACGGCAAAATAACCATTAAAACCATCAGAAAACAATCCATCATTTCCCTTGAACTACGTCATGACTTGATCAACTGTATGCAACTTGAAACTTCAAAATTCAAGTACAGTCACATTACCAACAAAAAAAACTAGCCACTTTGAAGACTCTGGGGGCGGATAAAGTTGACATCATCTTTAGGGAAAACAAACTTACAAAGCCAACAAGCTAAGAAAGCGACTAAGTAAGAATCTTCCACATGCACTGACACTATGCCAAGATCCTTAAATGCTTTCAACTCGGCAGGGGCATGGCGCCTAGCTAAACCAATGGCACCTAAAGGGTCTGAGTCTCCATTTGGCTTAGTAGTCTTGTTGTGGCCACTTTTCTTCGAAGGCTTCTTGTACTTCGTGGCATCCTAATACCAAATCATATCCATGAAGAAATATTCACGCCTAACTTACCCTGAGCCTCCTGGGAAAACTTGTGACATGCCCAAAACAAATAGCGGTAACTTGCAGGCAATCCTCGGCTATTGCGATGAGAAAATTCCTTTACGCTAAGAACAACCTCATCATAAAACTTACCCTGGACTGCAAGCCTCTATCTTGTGGAGATCCCAAAATGAAATCGACATCTCCCCTTGTGTCGTGTGAACTGTGTTGGTTATTGAACACCAATGCTCGAAAAATGCATGAAAGACGGAAGGATGGCGATCATAACTAAACAAATATGCGTATACAACGTGACAAAGACCCACGTTAGTAAGCACATCTTTGGATCGGCTCAAAACATCTTCAAGCCACTCCTAATAAACTCAACAAAGATGGTTTCTCCAATAGTCGACAAGGTGTTATTCCAAGTCATAGCTCCGCTACGGAAGCAATCACCAAGAAGCTTAAACGAAGCCTGTTGATGCACAAAATCGGAGGTCTTGGAACAACGTAAATCCGACCATGAATCTGCAAGAAAGTAAATAACACAAGATGTATAGTGGTTCACCCCAATGTTTGGGCTACGTCCACACTAATATTGTATTTCTCTGAGAGGATTGTGAGGGAGAGAGAAAGCCTTTGTAATGAGAGTGAGGCTTTGAGAGGGTGAGAGTCAGGCCTAAGAATTGGTCTCTCTTAATGAGGAGAGTGAGGGGTCCTTTTATAGAATAAGGGCTCCTCACTTATTACATATTTGCCCCTCTATTTATTACATAATGACATTTGAGTCCCCCGAGTATTTATACGAGATCTAAATATGGAGGCCCTAAGTATGTTATAAACAGTAGTCCCCCAAGTCTTCAGTCAAGAGAGTCTTTTGGCTAGAGACTTGAAATTCACTCCATGTGTGGGCCAAATTAACTAGATGTCGTCTAGAATTGATACTAGATATGAGGCGGTGCCCAATCTCAAATGATGTTCAACCAGAAGTAGCATATGTTGTGAGGCTACTCTGCTTGTGGCTTATGTTGCCTTGGTTAGCTCGGCTTGTGGCGTTTGAAGGTGAGGGAGTCCCTTTTATAGAATAAGGGCTCGCTCCTCAATACAAAAAATGATGGGCTAGAGTTGGTGTTCGCGGTGAAGCGGTTGCTCAACAGGCGACGATGCTCTCTAATGATGGTGAGGGAGTCATTTTTATAGAATAAGGGCTCGCTCCTCAATACATAAATGATGGGTTAGGAGTGATGCTCGCGGCGAGGCGGTTGCTCAGCAGGCGGCGATGCTCTCTAATGATGGTAAGGGAGTCCCTTTTATAAAATAAGGGCTTGCTCCTCAATACATGAATAATGGGTGCTCTCTAATGAACATGGGGAGTCCCTTTTATAAAATAAGGGCTCGCTCCTCAATACATAAATAATAGGCTAAGTCCCTTAAGTATTTTTCATGAGGCCCAATATATGGTACATAATGTAGTCCCCTAAGTATTCGGTCAATGGAGTCTATTGGCTGGAGACTTCAAATTGAATCCATGTATGGGCCGAAGTGGCGTTTGTTCGAATACGGTATTTGTATACCATGCACTGAAGCTTTGTAGGTGAAGCTTTACAAGTGAAGCTTTGAAGCCAGAGCTCTGTAAATAAAGCTTTTGAAGCTAGAGCTCTGTAAATAAAGCTTTTGAAGCTAGATTGACATGAGTGGTGCTCATGAATGTTTATATTGATTGACATGAGTGATGCTTATGGATGTTGACATGAGTTATGCTCATGAATGTTGACATGAATGATGGTCATGAATGTTTATGTATGATTGTCATGAGTGATGCTTATGAATGTTTATGTGTGAATGACATGCGTTATGCTCATGTATAATTTTGGAGTACTGGACGTACTTTTGATCACCTAGTGGGTGATGATAGCGGCAGGCTGCAGAATAATTTTGGAGTACTGGGCGTACTTTTGATGACCTGGTTGGTGATAATAGCGGCAGGCTGCGGAATAATTTTGGAGTACTGGGCGTACTTTTGATCACCTGGTTGGGGATAATAACGGCAAGTTGCCGAATAATTTTGAAGTACTGGGCGTACTTTTGATCACCTGGTTGGTGAGAATAACAGCAGGTTGCCGAATAATTTTGGAGTACTGGGCATATTTTTTATCACCTAGTTGGTGATAATAGAGAGCCTGGCTCTTTTGGGCACATGGGCCTTCGCCCTCCCAACAACATTCCAGCCCATTATTTTGGGCTTTTTTTTTTATTACCCTCTGATTGGGTTATACAGATGTCTCCGAAAGATAAGGAAAATAAATTACATCATTCAAAAATAAGAAAAGTAAATCACATCATTCTGGTAAGGTGTTTATTCCTTGCTTTTGCAGTGTCCCCATGTGCTCTCGCAGAGGAAAGCCTCCATTTTGCTTTCTGTTTTTTCTCAGTTTTTTTCGCTTTTGTTTCTGCTTTTCTTTATCTCCTTGCTCATTCTCTGTCCACCCATATGGCTTTGCAAGGTTATCTTTTGCTTTTCTTGATCTTTCCGCTCCTTCTGTGTCCACCCATATTACTTTGCAAGGTCATATTTTGCTTTTCTTGATCTCTCCCATGTCTCCACAGTGTGGCAGCTGAAAGCTTGTACCTCATCTATCGCCCTTTCTTGCTCTGTGTTTAAGGGTTTAGATTCATTACAAGATTCTCCCCGGAGCTAGTAGATTCTTCCTCTGTCCTTCTCTCGACGGTGGCTGATCAGAAAGTAGTCCACCCATCCACTACATTCCAGCTAGCTTTGACAATCGTGTTTCCAATCCCATCTCCCAAAAACATCAGATTTGTCTTCTTCTTCACAACCTCCACATTCTCAAAATATGCCCCGGCCTTTATGTATATCACAAACCTGGTTGCGCATGAATTAGGAGCCACATCGACGGCCTCGCTGATGGTAGTGAAGTTTCCAGTGCCGTCCTTGGCCACCACCAGATCGTACTTTGTCTCATTTGTCGAGGACTGCAACAACCTTCGATCTTTCGATGAAACCCAAGTCGGGAACCCTGTTCTAACTGTGACAATGCACTCCCAGCTTGTCTAAGCGATTTGACGATGGAGTCCTTGTTTGGGTGGGTTTGGCGGCGAAGGTGGGTGTCGATTTCGGAGACAAGCTGCAGCGCGGACTCAGCCATTGGGGCAGTGAATCGAGGAGAAAACCCTAACTCAAAGACGGGTGTTTTGGTAGTGGTATAGCAGATGGGCATTTGATCACAGGCAAAATCGCGATCGTAAGTCTCGGAGAGGACGAGAGCTTGACCAGTGTGACGAGAGAGTGAGTGTTGCAGATTGATTTGGAGGACAGGGTTGCTGGGTTTGTGTATTACAGCCAAAATGCCGATTCTGTACAACAACAAGATGTTGAGACCCAGTCCCTCGGCTTTCCTGGAACTTCCTCCCACTTGAATGGAACCGAGGCGTTGGTTTGAAACGGCTTTCCTGGATCTTTATGCTTTTCTTGAATTTTCACCAAACAGTTTCGTGAAGCACAACTTTGGTATGCCCGTGCAATGTCCCCTCAACCGCGTCGATAAAATAATCCAGTGGTTTTGGACAAAATGTCGGGTCGTTTGTATACATTTAAGTCACTGCCACGTGTCCCATATGAACTCCAGTAGTCGCCACATATATAACAACAGATATCAAAACTTACACGTAAGAAAAACCCAGCTACACCACATCAATATAAAACAACTTTTCCCACTTCAAAAAACAAAGAGAGTTGAAAATTATACGGATCTTCATTTCACGAAGTATATATAAAGCAGAGCACAATGAAGATTCAGCATGGACATCAACAGCAAAAGCTACAGACCTCAGGCACAAAAGTGCTTTTGGCTGCTTTTACTGGCTTAGCAATCAGAAGGCTTCTTGTGGGGTTGATGGGGTTGAGCTTCTTGGCGTCAATGACACTGCTGGTTTTGAGTTCGCCGATTCTGCTTATTTTCAGCCCACTTTTGTTTTTTGCTGGGTTTGTGTTTGTCGAAGCCTTGGCTGGGTTTGCTATGGCTGCTGCCCTGGCTTTTGCAAGGATGACTACTCTAGGGTGGATTTTTCAAGAGCTTGCAGGTATAAGGCTTTTGGGATTTTTACAGATTCACAGTGGTGAGATGAAAAAATGAAAGAGAACTGACATAGTTTTTTGTGTTGATTCCCACAGACAGCGCCAAATGTTGATGCACAAAACTGGAGGTCTTGGAACAACGTAAATCCAACCATGAATCTGCAAGAAAGTAAATAACACAAAATGTATCGTGGTTCACCCCAATGTTTGGGCTACGTCCACACTGATATTGTATTTCTCTAAGAGAATTGTGAGGGAGGGAGAGAGCCTCTGTAATGAGAGTGAGGCTTTGAAAGGCGAGAGTCAGGCCTAAGAATTGGCCTCTCTCAATGAGGAGAGTGAGGGCTCTTATTACAGAGGCTCTCTCCCTCCCTCACAATCCTCTCAGAGAAATACAATATCAGTGTGGACGTAGCCCAAACATTGGGGTGAACCATGATACATCTTGTGTTATTTACTTTCTTGCAAATTCACGGTCGGATTTACGTTGTTCCAAGACCTTTGGTTTTGTGGCCCTAAGTATGGTATAAACAAAGCCAGCAAATTGTCACAAACATGGTGCGAAGGTGCAAGATAAGAATCCTTGACGTATATGCCTTCTTCTTCATATTTGGTGGACCACAATTGGTCACCTCCCAAGATACTTCAGAAGACCACGACTTGATATACATCAAGTTGTCTTTTGCAGGAAGAACAAGTGCCTTAGGACCAGTTAACAGCGCAGAAAGTTTCAACGTCATTCCCTTATCTTGCGAATCGCTTTCCTTCACAAGAATAGTGATGGTATTGCTCTTAAAGCACTTGAAAAATACTATGGCTAGAACAAAAAAAAAAGACAAGATAAGCATAAGGTGGGACGGCAAAAAGGAAAAAAAAAATTACTTTACTAAAGCAAAAGACATGCGAGACAAACCTTGTGAGCATTGCAGGATGACAATGACAAAGTCACAATGACGAAAAGAAATTAGCCGCAAAGCTTGAGCAGCACAGCAAATAGGGCAGCTACAAGACGGTCCTTCAAAACACGCTACAGTAGCAAAGAAAACAAAAATGCTACGCAATCACACTACATAACCCCGCAACGATTACGCAAGCAGTTTCTTGCACTGCACGACAACGTCACCACCAAGGGAAAACTGTGACCAAAAGGCACTACACAGCGTAACCCCACTACAGTCTTTTGCACAGCACCACGCAGTAAAAAGTGACGCACTGCAAGAAGCTTCAAGCAGCTACAACTCATGGTAGCAGGCAGAGTCAATGTGCACCACAAGGACAAATCTTCAATTTTCTCAAATCAAAAGGGAAAACACCCATTTGACCGAAAAATTGGAAAGGAAAAGGAAAAAAATGCAAATCCTACTTACCTAAGGACAAACATTAAATCTTTCAAAACCTTGAAGGAAATCACTAAAGCTTTCTAACATCTTGAAGGAAATCACCCTCATTACCAAAATTGAAAGAGATTCCTACCTAAGGGAGGAAAAGCATTTTTTCCCATACCCACGATGTTACATCTCACACCGCCCAGGGAGTGGATCCTATAAGCCTTATATGTATATTCTCATCTCTACCTAGAACGAGGCTTTTTGGGAGCTCACTGGCTTCGGATTCTATCGGAACTCCGAAGTTAAGCGAGTTCGCGCGAGAGCAATTCCAGATGGGTGACCCACTGGGAAGTTCTCGTGTGAGTTCCAAGAAACAAAATCGTGAGGGCCTGGTCGGGGCCCAAAACGAAAAATATCGTGATACGGTGGAGTCAAGCCAGGGATGTAGTGGGGGACCCGAGCCAGGATGTGACACACGAGGAAAAAAATTCAAGCCCTAAAATACACCAAAATGTATTTTGTCAAAAAATTATGGAAAATCAATACGCACAATAAGTATGTGCCGATTTATCCATTTTCAAAAATTTCATTCAAGATCAAGCCTCTAAAGCCCTTAATTAAATTTTCATTTCATTTAAGATCAAGCCTCTACGACCCTTGAAGAAATTTTCCATTTTATTCAAGATTAAGGCTTTACGACCCTTGAAGAAAATTTTTATTTCATTCATGACCAAGCATCAGCAACCCTTGATGAAATTCATTATTTGAATTCAAGAAATATGCCTTAACGGCCCTCAAAGAAATGTTTCGTTCAAGAATCAAGTCTTGACGACCCTTGAGTTAGAACATTCACATTGCAGGACTTCAAAACACGTTTCCTACATGTGACAAGCACATGCCTACAACACGCCTTAAAGTGGGGGCATTTGTAGACATGTACATTTTGTTGCATGCAAATGATGCATCATAAAGCTCCACGTGGCATATGACTTCTCACAAATGGACAAGTCATCAATGACATGTGGCACAAATTAAGCAAAGGAAGATCAAAAGCATTCCTAAAATGCGGCAAAGGGGAAGAAATCTCCTTAAAATCGACAAGGGGCCCAAATTGCTCCCAAAACCAGAATGAAAGCTAAAGCATCTTCAAAAAACAAGCAAGAATTGAAGATTGCTTGCAAAATAGGCAAGAAAGACTTATAGATTTCGGCCAAGCAAGGGAAAGTGGCAGAAATTAAGACACAAAACATGCCTAAATTCTCCCATGGATGAATCAAGACACAAATCAAAGCCAAATCCATCCAAAGGCAAGCTTTGAGAAGTCTATAAATACAAGGTCCTCAAACAAGCATAAAGGTTGACAATTTCTACATTGAAGGGCCAAAATTCTCATAAAAGGAGAACCTTTGCCAAATCTTTGAAGACTAATACGCTGCCAAAGCTCTCTTTAAAGAACGTACAACCAAAGATGAAGCATTCCCTTGAAGAATCAACAAGCACTTATGCCAATTCCTTCAAGACTTTGTTGCAAGCTTAAAACTTGTAACGACGTTCGATTCAGGACCAAGTCGCCAAGACCCTTGAATCAACAAAATCCTACATCAACATCACCTTCGCCGCATGTCAAACCTAAAGGTGAAGACTATCCACACATTGTTTCAAGCTCAAAACTTGAAGCAATCGTTCAATCTTCATCCAAGATCAAGTCATCACGATCCTTGGATCAACAACCTATGCATCTACATCAAATTTGAAGACTGAATCAGAGGAAAATTGTAAACAGAGATTGTAACCCTACAAATTCATCAATACAAATCTACTTTATACACGTGTTTCGTTTCATTCGTTAAAGAATTTTCGTGTTTACGGATTGACTTACATAGAACGGGTTTACCATCACATGGTGTCCCAGTCTAATAAAGCATTAATATATAAATTCCTAAACATGTGGCTTTGTAGGATTAGATGAGGACATCACATGACCGTGAACCCGTTTCATGTAAGTTGTTCTCCCTCTAAAATAGATTATATAATCCCGAAAACAGGAATCTAATCACTTATTTATTTTTTCAATCGTGGTTAGATTGAAATTTTTTATTTTTTATTTTTAGCATTCAAAATTTAATCTAACATTAGGTTATAATGAAAATTAAATATTTTTCAAAGACTGTAATCTAGTTTTCTATATAATATATTTTAAACATATTTGGTATTAACTACATGATAATACTTGCATTTTTATTTTCGAGGATGAGCTTACGAATAACGTATCTTGACTATACAAATTTCGTAGTCAAAACTCACTACTACAATTAACACGTTTTGTGACGAAGCAAAGTTTTTTTGTCGCACAAGGACAATTTTCGTCCCTTAATAATTTAAGCGACGAAGGCTTCGTCACAAAAGTGTTGTCACGCAAAGCTCATGAAAAAAGCATTTGCACGATGAAGAATAGCTTCGTTGCATAAACTATAAGGGAACGAAAACAGGTTGTTGCACAGATTTTATGGTGCCAAAGGCCTTCGCAAGTAAACCTTGTCAAACAAAAGTCAAGTAATTTTAATGTTATTTAATTATGAAAATTTTTTTGTATAGAAACCTGCACTGTGACAGCCCGTCCCGAAAGATATTCCTTGATTATGTGAAATGTCTAGAATACCCTTGAGAGTTGAGTTGTAGTTTGTGTAAATAAGCTAAGGAATTAAACAATTGAATTCATTTATTTTCTTCCTAACCTTTTTGGACCCAATTAAAACTAAAGGCTCTAATTGTGTTGGTTGGTTGTAAAAAAATCAGGACCTCACACATACTCCCCCTCCCGTTGACTCTCTTTCTCTCTCTTCCCTCTCAGCTTTTCTTCCTCTTCTGGACAATTGTACGGTCAATTGGTGAATCAACCATTTTGTGCACAGATCAAGGTGGTGAAGGTAATGACTGCGTTCTTTGCGAGCCCAGGAATTCAACCATACCATTTTTGGGACGTGAAACCTTTGAAAACCCAAGAACCAGAATTCCCGAGTTAATGTACTGTTCATGTAAACGTAATCGTGAAGTTTTCAAGGAGTTTTAAGGTTATAGGGAGCCTTAAAACACCCTCACAAAGCTCGGGGGAAAAAAGTTGGAGTGATTTGGATGTCGGGAAGCGTAGTTTGACAAGTTTGAAATTTTGGTCAGATTGTCAAGGTTTCTCAGGCAAGATCCCATGGATTTGAAGGCCTAAAAGTGGTAAGGTTTTGTTCCTCTAGCCCTAAGCTTCATTTTGGTTCAAATTTCATGGATTTTGGTGCAAAAATGAGTGAGATATGAAGCTTTCAAGATTTTCCAAAAATAGGCGATCGCATCGGCACTGGTGCCGGACTCCAGCGAACCAAGGAAGAAGGAGGAGAATATTCCGTCAAAGTTGACGGAATATTCTGAAGCCGTCAGGTAACTTTAACAGCATATGCTACTTTTTGACGGAATATTCCCTAACGGCGTTAAGGTTTCCGTTAAGGTTTTTGTGGGGGCACGTATGGCTGTGCCCTGGCTGGCGCGTGGGGTTATGAAATTTTTTTCTAAAAATATGATGATGTTCCTAAGGTTGAGTAGGTCATTGTGGTATATTCAAATACCCCATTTGAGCAATGTATGAGAAGTTATTTCCTAGTTTTGTGTATGTACTTTAAATAACATTTATTTAGTTATTTTGCATATAGGTGAGACCTATTTGGAGGACGAGCACCATCAATCG